AGGAGCAGGAATAGAACATGAGGGTTCTTCTTCCCTTGATGGCTCTGATTTTGTTCAATCATGGGCTCGGGTTCCTCTTCTCTCACAAGTTCAGGCTCAATTGGTTCAGGCTCGATTGGTGAGCTAATTGGGATTGACTTAGGTTTTGGCTTTGGAATTAGCATATCTATGATGGTCTTGTCAATCACTTTGCCACTTCTTAGTGTAGTGACAACTTGGGCTTGGTCTTGTGGATTTTTCATGGTTGAAGGATTTTTCACCTGAAATTGGCCTTGTGGTGGTTTTGGTTGGGTAGAAAACTTGCCCTTCTCATGAGTGGTCATGGATTGGGTCAACTTTTGAATGTGCTTTTAAGATCCTCGAAAGATTGATTGGTCTGTGTTTTGAAATCAGTAAAAGTCTGAGTGGAACTATAGTTGTAGTTCATTTGGCTTTGCATGAACTGATTCAGTGTGTCCTCAAGGCTCCTCTTTTGTGGTGGTTGGTATGGTTGATATGCGAGAGGTCCTTGAGGTGGTGGGTGTGAACCTTGTTGTTGGTTCATGAGAGTGGGTTGTGTGTTTCTCCAACTGAAGTTTGGGTGGTTTCGTCACCTTGGATTGTATGTTTCAGAGTATTGGTTAGAGTAAGGCTTGTTGAAGTTGGAGACAACATTTGTTTTTCCAACAAAACCTCTTTGAATGCTGGAATGGTAGGACACTCCCCAATAGGGTGTCCTATCAGCGCACAAATCCCACGCACTTGTTCTATGGGAAGGCCAACATCAACTTGATGAACCTTCTTCATCTCTAAAGCTCCAAGCTTTCGAGACAGGGTGGACCTTTTTGCTCTTAAGTCATCATCATCTTTCAAGACATACTTACCCCTTTGGGAAGTAGATGGTTTGACTTCAACAATGGTAGGGGAGGCTGAGTCCCACATCTGAGAACTATCAGATATGGTATCAAAGAAATTGAATGTCTCATCTGGACTTTTTCTCATGAACTCTTCTTGAGCCACCATTTCGACAAACTGGCGTAGTCTGGTAGGCAAAGAATCATAGAAAAATCCTACTAAGGTCCAATTCTAAAAAGCATGGTGTGGGCAGAACTAGAGCAGACCCTTGAATCTCTCCCAACTCTAGTAAAAGGTTTTTCCTTCTTTAATCGAAAAATTCATGATTTTCCTTTTCAATGCATTAGTGTGGTGCAGAGGAAAAAACTTTCTGAAAAATTTATTTTGTAGTGCCCACCAATCAGGTATTGAAAGAGCTTTTAAAGAATTTAGCCATTGTTTGGCTTTATCCTTTAGAGAAAATGAAAAAAAATTATTTTGGCTAGCTCAGAACTTTCTTGAAACGTTCCACATACTTCCTCAAACTCTTTTATGTGCAGATATGAATTTTCTGTTTCGAGTCCACGGAATTGAGGGAGTAGTTGAACTGTCCCCGTCTTTACAGTAAAAAGGGGTGCATCTTCAGGAAAAATAAAATAAGAGGGGACACTATTTCTTGTGGGATTTAAGTAATCCCACAAAGTTTGAATGTTAGGCACTTCCCCCTCTCTCACAGAAACTTATCCTCGTCTCTCATTATTTGTCATTCTACTTTCACAAGAGTCTGCTACTGATCTAGGTGAAGGTGGTTCAAGTTGATTAACAGACCCAGAATTTTGATATTGAGGAGCGTCCTCAGACATAAAACAATTAAAACAAATTTATACACAATTAAAGCAAATATTCACACAAATAGGAAAGTTTTTTCACCTTTTTCTCAAAAACACTTTTTATGGTTCTCTGACAACGGCCCTAAAAATTCGACTTGATCTGAAATGTATATACCCAAGTGCAGGCGGTCAAGCTATAGTAATAATCTGGTTAAGTCCAGAGTTGAATCCACAGGGAACTATGATAAGTGTTTAAAGTTGCAGTTATAGAGACCAAGTAACTGAAAACCTTTAGAGTTTGAAATTATGGGATTCCCTGAATAGAATATAAGACACTTTCCAAGAGTTTTCTAAAAAAAATAAAAAATAAATTCAAATGTGAAACAGTCACCCTTTAGTTCGAGGATCCAAACATGTATTTAATTATCCGATTTATTATACTTATGCTTTATAACTCAATTAATTCTCATGTCAACAGTGAGTTAATCGGAAGATAAAGATGGACTGTGAGAATTAAACACATAATTCCGATGCCTTTCTAGAAGTTTACAAGAATTTTTTGTGCCGAGACTCAACCCGTCAACAAAAAAACAAGTGTTTCTACAAGGCATCCAACCATGGGATTAACATTCCATTCTTTAGATAAAGCACAATGATGATGAAGATTGAAATATTGTCATGAAGATCTAGCCGGGGTACTTGCCTTGAATCATCGAGTCTTTCTATGCAAGAGTCATCCGTGACATAGAAAGATCTCACAGTTATACAAAGTACCTTAGCTTTGCTAGATACATTCAATCATTCAATGAGCAAGTGAAATATAAAGCATTAAAGCATAAAAGAAATGCACAAATATAACTTCTGGATAATTCATACATATCCATCACCTATGACTAAAGAGTGAATGAGGAACTACTCACTCTTCATGGCTTTGGTAAAGGTAGAAAAGAAAGTGATACTTATCCCTCCAAGTAGAGAACTTACAAAGTAAGTACAATAAGCGAAGAATCGATCTTCAACGAAGAATAAGTGAATCACATTCCACCCTTCACGGTTTTAGTAAAGCTCTAGAAAAGTAGAAGAGTTTCACTCTTCTAAGAAGGAAGGAAGCTCAAGCATTGGAAGTGAAAAACATAAACAATGAAAGTAGAAGAAAGCTAGTCACTTTTGGAGGGTGGCTTCCTCAACCAACAAGTGAAGGGTTGTTTTCTCAACCAACAAGTGGAGGGTTGCTTCCTCAACCAAAAGATGAAGGGTTGCTTCCTCAACCAAGAGATGAACTAACTTTTTTGATACAAGTAAATATAATATACATCTAAGACTAGCTACATGAGTGGGAGTCTAAGCCTCCATCAAAACTCTCTACAAAAAGCTCTTTTTCAAGCTCCCACAATGAGAGTATTTATAGGCAAGGAAGAGGAAGGGGGTGGTGAAAGAATAGTGTATGCCGACCAAGTCCAAGTGAAAATCAACCACTCTGCAGTCTGTCTGTGAAGACGTTCAAATGTGAGTTGGCGTTCGAACGTTGTATCTATTTTTGCTTTATGGGCGTTCAAATGTTGTATGACGTTCGAACATTTCTTTTGTGTTTGCTTTATGGGCGTTCGAACGCCAGATGGGGTTTGACCTCCTCACTCGAGTGGCATATGGTCTTCTATGGAAACTCATTTCCACACTTCATGCACATCTTGGCTCCTGGCACTCATCACTCCGATCTTCAAACAAATCAAGTGGACGTTCGAACGTGAGTTGGCGTTCGAACGTGGTGCTCAAGTACTTCAGGGTCTCACTTCTTGACTGCAACACACCATGTCTCAACAGGCTAGTTTTCTCAGAGTTCAAGTAGACGTTTGAACGTGAGTTGGCATTCGAACGTCCTTGCTTTGTTCCAACCTTCTCCAATTTTGTTCCCTAATGCATTGGTGTTACACTCAAGTGTGATATTTATTGTTCTTGAGTCTTTGTTCACTTTAGGACCTAAAATGTCATTACTTAAATTTCATCAAAGTACAATTAGTCCCAAAAAGGCATAGTAAAATGCTAATTTTAAGCACTAATCAGTATGTCTCCCTATAGGTTAGTCTATGGCAAGACCTGTTATTTGTCAGTAGAGGTTGAGCATCGTGCACACTAGGCCATTAAGTCATTGGATTTTAATTTGGGTCTAACCGGTGAGCATAGAAAGTTACAGCTTAATGAATTGGAAGAAATACGTAAGATGCATATGAGGGTACTCGAATTTACGAAGAAAATGTCAAAGTTTTTCAGTATAATTCTATATTGCAAAAGACCTTCGAGCCAGGTCAAAGAATACTTTTATACAATTATCATTTTCACCTTTTCCCAAGGAAATTGTGTTCCCGTTGGACTGGCCCTTATGCAATCCGAGTTGTTTGTCCTAACAGGGCTATAGAGGTAGAAAACCCTAAGAATATGTAGACTTTCAAAGTTAATGGACAGAGTCTAAAGCCATTCTTGGAGGGTTTTTATCTGAGAAGGTTGTTGAGGACATAGTTGATCCTATGCATCAAGATCGTGCTTCTGAGTAATTCTTTTTATTTTATTTGTTATTTTAAGGTAGTTAGTTTATTTTTTATTTTGGATAAAACATTTTGTTGTACTTATTTAATTTGTTGTTTTGTAGTTGGTGATTTTTTTTTTTTGGAGCTTAGTGCCAAGTTTTACCCTTATTGCTTTCATTTTTCTCATTGCATGACTATTTTTGCATTGAGGACAATGCATGATTTAAGTTTGGGGTAAGAGACGTACTATTATTATGTTACATCACCATGTTATATATGAAAAATGAGAAAATATGAAATTCAAAAAAAAAAAAAGAAGAAAGGAAAACAAATCATTCGATTTGGACTTTATTATTCTCTTTTAATTAGCATGACATTTTTAATTATTTAACTTGAATCTTGAGTTATTTGCATGTTAACACATTATAAGAGTTTATTCTATGTTAAGTATCATGTACATGTTTTCATGTGAAACTCAATATGTGCACCATGAACATGCAAATTTTTACGATTTATTGAATGAGATTCATATTTTAAAAAGCCTGAGGAGATGAATGTATGCCCCATATGAGTTTTGTGTCATTTGTTAGAGGGTTGAAATACATTTACTCAAAAGGCCAACCCACCCCAAGCCTACCAACTCCAAATCATAGCATAACAAAAGGCCAGAGGCCTCATACCCAAAAAGCCTGCCTTGCTTAGTTCCCCCTCTTTTCTCTCTCCCTCTCTCTCCCAAAATATCAGGACGTTAGTAGATAAGCATCCCTTACCCTCCTAGTCTCTCCATCCTAGTCCTTACCTTGCCGCTCCACCTTCCCAACAAATTTCCTACACCATGCTCTCTGTAATAGTAACCACACCCAAACCCTTCTCTTTCTACACCCCTTTCCTCCCCCATCACCCACTTCCGCCCTCTCTCCACTCTCCCTCCGCCCACAGACCCCCTCTCCCAAAACCCATCTCAGCCATCATCACCCCACAAAACCCATCACCCCAGCAACAGCAACAACAGCTCTTCCAACCCTTCAAGCCTCCCCCATCCCCTCTCCCCTCCAAGTTCCGCTCTCTCGACACCAACGCCCGCATCGAAATCCTCGCCAACCGTCTAGGAGTGTGGTATGAATACGCTCCTCTCATCCCCTCCCTCACCCAGGAAGGTTTCTCACTTCCCACCATTGAAGAGCTCACTGGCATCTCCGGTGTTGAGCAGAACCGCCTCATCGTCGCCACCCAGGTACGCGACTCTCTCTGCCAATCCAAACTTGACCCAGAAATACTCGCGTTTTTCGACATTGGTGGTGCTGAATTGTTATATGAAATTCGACTTTTGAGCGCCACGCAACGCGCTGCGGCGGCGAGTTACCTGGTGGAGAACAAATTGGATGCAAAGGGTGCTCAGGAGGTTGCTCGCGCCATGAAGGATTTTCCTCGTAGGCGTGGAGATCAAGGTTGGGATAGCTTCGATTATACTCTCCCCGGTGATTGTTTATCTTTTGTGTACTATAGGCAAGCTCTTGAGCATCAAAATTCTATTGAAATGAGGAAAACTGGGTTGGACAAGGCACTTGAAGTGGGGGCTTCTGAGAATGCGAAGAAAAGGGTACTGAAGGAATTGGAGGGGAAGAATGGAGAGGGGGGAGAGGGAAAAGTTGGGGTTGAGGCTAGGGTGAGAGTGCCAGTGGTAAGGATGCAAGTGGGGGAGGTGGCAGAGGCAACGGTAGTGGCAGTTTTTCCGGTTTGCAGGGCAGAGGAGAGGGAGAGGGAGGTGGAGGAGGCGCCGTGGGAGTGTGCACAGGAAGGAGAGTTTGGAATGGTGGTGGCGGATAAGGGGTGGAGGAGATGGGTGGTGTTGCCGGGGTGGGAGCCTGTGGCAGGGCTAAGGAGAGGGGGAGTGGTGGTGGCGTTTAAGGATGCACGGGTTCTGCCATGGAGAGTGAATAGGTGGTATAAGGAAGAGGCTATTCTGGTGGTAGCGGATAGGGGGAGGAAGGAGGTGGTGGCGGATGATGGGTTTTATTTGGTGATTGGTGGTGGCAATGGTGGTGATGATGGATTGAAGGTGGAGAAAGGATTGGCATTGAAGGAAATGGGTGTAAAAGAGTGTTTGGGGACTGTTGTATTGGTGGTTAGGCCACCAAAAGAAGAAACTGATAATCAGTTAAGTGACGAAGATTGGGAGTGAAAGGAAGCTGTTATAGTGATGGGATGTTAATCTTTTTGATTATGTACATCCTATAGAATTTTGATAATGGTGGCAATTGAGTATTCAAATTTGAAGACCTTTGTCTTAATTCCTTGTCCAAGGACGCTTAAAAGCCGCCAAACAATGTATCTTTCAGTAGAGAATTGCTTGGATGTTTGATTGTTCTTCAAATAGTGAATTCTTTGCATCATTCACGGCCAACTAATAGCTTTGCAAAATGTATGTGGAGTGCATCTCAACGGAGAGCCTAGGGTATGAGGTTTGGAATCTCTTTCAACCAAGGTAAACTAGCGACGTTTCTAGTGTTTTAACTTTCTGATATGTATGCTAAAAGACAACGAAATGAAACTTGATACAAGCATTGTACTTATTTCTTTTACAGAAGGTTATTGGCAGTAATATGTTTTGAGGGTCAGAGAATACAAATACGTATTTATCTATCACACTGCTGAATTATTTTTGGATGCTATATGTGTTGCACTATCTTTGAAATGTTAATTGATAATGTACTATTTTCCCATCTTTCGGTTCACCATATGAATTTATGTTGTCAATTATACCAGCTTGGGAGTATGAATGTGCATTTTTTATTACAATATATGTTGCTTAATATGCGTTGATGTATCGACAAAAAAATATGTGTTGATGTTAGCAATACTACGATTATCAAAACTTACTCAGATTGTGCTGTATCTACATGGATGTGTGAGGCATTCTGGATTGGGATTAAATTTTGGTTGGCATTGGAGGAAGTGGGAAAAACTTAAATGAATGCATTAAATGTATACAACTTGGTAGGCTGACATGGACTTGGGAGTTTCAGTATATATATATATATATATATAAATGTTTTTACTACTATAGTTGTCAAATCGCATATCGGAAGGTGTATCGTATTTCAAAAATAGTGTATTGTGTATCATAAGATATGTGCAATTTTAAATAATTATTAATAATATATATATATACATACCTTTGTAAAAAAGTTATTGACTCATAATAATATAGTATTTCATTAATATTCCACCAAGTATTTAAGTTTCCAACATAATTCAATAATATTAAAGTGCAAAAACCTCTAATTCAAACTTTTAACATCAACTGCTTTAATAACCTTAGTATTAATCAAAAATTTTGAATTCAATTGAACAACAGTAACAGTAGGCTTTGTTGTTTTTTTTTTAAACCATAGCAACTGAAACAACGTTGTTTCACTGGCTAATGATTACAAAATAAGTTCTATAATGAAACAATGTCATTTCAGCCCCAAAAAACCAAAAACAAATTAAAAAAATAGAATATTTGTGTATCGTATCGTGTATTGCAAGCAGAAAAATATTAGACTAATTTTAACTCACTGTAGATGGTTACTCGACTTGAGATTTAGTGTTTTATTTTATCATTCGCAAGGTATCTTTGGCGAACTTCTTGTATATGGATTTACTTGTTTCTATTTTTTTAGTTTTTTCTAATTTTCCTCATTAGGAAGTTATGGAATCTGTAGTTGTTCTTTTTCTTCTGATCAAGCAGTCATGGGGACACAGATTGACTTGGTTCTAGCTTATGGTGGGTGAAAATTATTACATACATTTCGTTGTTTTTTGTTGGGGGGAGAGGGGGGTGTTAACACTTAGCAGCTTCCCTCATTTTTGCTTTATTTTTGACTTGTGGGTTATCAATGTTCATTTTGCTTGTCTGGAGTTCTACTGGCTGGTATGGTTTCTGCTGGTAATTAGGTTCAGTTTTTCAAACTGTAGAAATGTAGAGGTAATGCTTGCAATTAAGCTATTGTGCTAAGTTGCCAAGTGAATAAATAGTCCAACAAGCCACGTCATCACTATTGTAGGATTGGAGCTCTTTTGAAACTTACAGCACACTTAAGCATGGATAGGAAAGTACCGGCATGTTGTTGGAGATGTTTCAGAGAAGTTTTGAATTGACACTTGACTGAGGTAAAGAGGGAAAATTTATATACTGACAAAATTCTGGAACACTTAATGGGGTAATGAACAGAAACATTAGGTGAATTTTCTTGTACATTCTCTTCACCTTCTCTACAGCAAAATAAGTTTCTACAAGCATTTGATCCTTCATTCCCATTTATTCTGGTTTCTTTCTGGTAGTATCTTGTCACCATCTAGAACAGTATTGATTTCACTTGTTAGAGAGGAGATTAGCCGTATAGCTTGATGATATGTTCCGAAATACTTGGTAGCTTTTGTCTCATTACGTATCATGTTGGTCTGGAGTCGGGCTAAATTCGTTGCCTTAAGAGAGAGTTAAGCGGGCGATTATACTGGGATGTTTGCAAACTGCGGCAATTTAGATTGTCTGCTTTGGAAGCTTAAAAAAGACAGTAAGATAACACTGCTGTATTATTTTCCAGTTGTTGGTCAATGTGTATGGATGTTTCCTGACTTAATACTTCAATTGTATTGAGGAGTATCATAATTTTATTTCCATATATTTTTTTTGTTGGCATCCCTTGGTGCTCTCATTCTGTTGATCATGCCATTAGCAATAAGGATAAAGGTCACCTAAACTCCTTTTTCACTTCGAACAAATTTTATATCCATATTTAGGACTTTCCATGGTGCTTTATTTTGTCTGGGACCGAGTATTCTTCAATCTTTCTAGTAAAACATCTTATATGCGATTTATCTATGCTAGAGCCATTGATGGTGTAACAAAATTGAAAGTCCGAATGATCTGTGGCCGCCGGACCACTCTGAGTCTCTGTACCGCTGTTATTGTAAATTGCAGCGTCAATGAGCTTTCCGAATGTGGATTGCCAAGGCAAGACAAACTGATTCCAATCGTTTCAGCAATCTGTTGTATAACCAGTTACAATAACCTATCCTTTCCTCAGTATTTGCTGATTCATCTTCCTGAATCCTGATAAGTTTATCCAGAGGAGATCAGGCGTGACTTTAGAGTGAATTGACCCGGCTTTACTGCATCTCTTCTTTCCTTCTTGGGTTCAAGTCCATCTGGAAATGACACCAATTCGATTTGGTTTTACTCTTCACCCTTCTCCACTGCCGCCAAGACTTGAGAGTTGGGACTTGAGGGTGAAGGAGCTGTGTTAGCAAATCGTAGCATTATAAAACGACTGCTTACACTTTTCACGAGATGGTATGGTGGTGCTGCTATGGTGTGGTTTGAACAAGTGGTTGCCTCCCTGTGTTGCATGACAGCAATCCGGCAAGGCTGTCCGACAAGGGTCGAGAGGGACGCTGCTCCATTCAGAAATGTTACTTTGGTACCATGATCAGCAGTCCGTAGCCACAATGTCCCAACTCAAGAGGCCGTGTACTGTGTCAATCTGTGTGACACACAACACCACTCCATTTTATTATTCTTGTACACACGCGTACGTGTATGTGTGTGTGAACAATTCGCCATGTTTTCGACATATTTATATCATGCTTATTGGGTAGGAGATAACAATGGTATTTTTCATAAGGGCATTTGTATCTTTGCCGGTGGATTAATCACCGGGTTACTAAACATTTTGACAAATAACCAAGCTCTTTGAGATTATACCATGAGAGATTTATTAATACCCAAGTCTTGGTATAAGTATAAGTTGATCCGGACATTCCTAATCATTGAAAGGCGGGAGGGGGGGGGGGGAGTTGCCTGGCAAAGTCAACAAGATAAATCTTTGTAAGTAGCTCTACCAGATTCGATAAAAAATTTAAATCCATTACAACAAACATCAACCACAGAAATATGGCAACATGAATTCCGATACTATAAAAACCAAACTCAGAGTTCTAGAACAATAGAATCAAAACCTGCAAAGTTCAAATCAAAGAAGGAACAACACATTAACGGGGTGAGATCATGGTTCTGCGTGCCAGTGTACCAACAGTAACATTGTGAGACCAAGACAGTAAGAGAGATTAAAGAAATTGGCGAGTGGGAGATATGGTTGTCAAGACGTGTATCCAAAGACATTATTTGTTTTAAATAATATCATGTATTTTGTAACATATTGTATATCATAAGATATATGCAATTTTTATAAAAGATATTAAAAAATACATATACCTATGAAAAAATATCATAATAACATTTTATTGTACCATAAATTTCTTACATAAAATAATTTAAAAGAGACAATAAGGACCAAAATAAAAAATTGATAATCCACATATTTAAATTTGTGAACATAATTTATCAATATCAAAATTTAGAGAGTTTTAGTTATAGCGTCTAAAAGAGTCAGAGGAGAGGTCACAACAAAAGCAAAAATGGTTGCAAAGTCTATTGTTTGAAATAGAGTAAACAACGTGAAATCCTAGGAGCTAATTCACACCAACATTTTCAACTTGTCCAACTGTTGTTGAGCAGTTTTTGGATATCAAACGAACCTGTCTAGAAGGTAATTTTAATGTGGTCGATTTTCCTTTTTTTGCAATCGGTTTTGCTAGAACAACTACTACTCTAGCTTAATTTAAATATTTAAATTAAGATTTTTCATTGTTATTTAATACCTATCTACCCCAAATTTTATGGGAATGATGAGTCATAAATCAAAACTCATTCTTTTATACGAAATAAAGAAAGACTATCTTGTCTAGGTATAAAGGCAAACAAGTTTAGATTAAGTCCTTACTCCTATTTTTATTTTACCCTAATCTAGCCTTAAAAGACTTAATCCCAATGATTGAATTTCATTAGTACCAATAACTCCCTCTCGTTTAAAATTCAGAAATCAACAGAAAATTAATAATTGGGATACATCATTTAAGGGGTAGGGAATATTGATTCTTTCGCATTTCGATTCAAAATCAGAAACATGAATAACATTATATCCAATAATTAGACCTTAAATAGAACTTATTAAAAAAAACACAATCTTTATTTTGATAGAATGGATATGCTCCATGACGGAAGGATTCAAACCTCCGAATAGCGGGACCAAAGCATGTTGCCTTACCACTTGGCCACACCTCAATTTCTGTTGGACACTAATAAAGAAAAATATTGTTCTTGGTAGCAATTACACAAGAGAATGTGCTTGCTTTATAAGGTCGCAATTGAACAAATCAAATGAGCTCGAATTGACATGATATAAAATCTTTTAACAATCAAACTATTTGTTTTTGTGATGAAATAAATAACAAAAAAAGATTTCTATTTTTTAAAACCCTAAATACTGAAATAGCATCATTTTCACTACCAAGTGTTTACAAAAACTACTTTCACGTTAAAATGCTTCATTTTCTGGTTGAAATTTAAATAAAAAAAATTAATCTATATTGTCATGTATTAGATGACTTATATTGTATCGCATATCACTCGATACAAGACGGAATTGAAATATTTAAACAATACGTATCATTTTTTTAATGTATCATACGACACTAATAACTATGATTGAAAAAATTTACGAGGAGGAGGCGACTAGATAATAGTGAGGAGGTGAACCGTAAGGTCAGAAAGATGAAAGATGGGAGCTACGCTGCAGCTACTGTGAGGGCATGGCCTATGAGCCCTTAAGGCCGGGACGGAGTGATTGAGTCTGTGAAACATGGATTCGTGAGACGGAGAGGAAAAGAGAGTAGAGATTCTAGGGCTCAAAATTCAAAGCTGAAGTTGCAGAATCTTACTATAGAAAGATTGACCTGTCAAATCTAATAAACCCGTCCGGTTCACACTGGGTTTATATAAACCAACCCGGGTTTTTTCACGGGTATTAGCACAAACGGTCCAACTATTAAACCAGCTGGTCTTATAGTTAACCGGCCAGTCCAGCCGAATTTTAAAACACTGATTGTAAAAGCTACAAATACGCACTTTCCACAAAGTAAGTCTCTTAAACTACATTCAGCAAGGAATTGTAAAAACTAGGCTTTAACAGCAAAATGTTTAGTCCAAAATTAAGCAGCCACATGGTAAAGCTCTAAGAGATACATTCAGAAACCAATAGATCTATATAGTTTACTGAATGTGTTATTTTATCTGATCAACAAGCATTACATGATAAAACCCTACAGTCAATACATTCATAACATCTACTCCAGAGTGAAAACAAGCAAACAACAACCATGCAATTGATCCAAACACATTTACACATTATTTGACAAGTATAAGTTCCACAAACTGTATTATTATTTTTGGGATAACTGCAAATAAAATTTTCAAGTATTTTGCTCATACAGCTTAAACCAAGCTACTAATTGAGAACTTCCAACTCTCGGAATATATTCAACTCCCATGATAACAAAAAGGGTACATAAATCATCATCTCACTTCATTCTTCCCCCTCAACCATTATCTCATTTTTTTCACCATCAATTTTCTTTTATTTGACCACAATCTTCTATCACAACAGTTGATGAAGTCGTCCCACTGCCCGAACCCACCTTTTCCATCTCCTTCACCACACTATATCCATCCACTACCTTCCCAAACACCACATGCTTCCCATCAAGCCAAGTTGTCTTCTCAGTAGTAATGAAGAACTGAGATCCATTAGTATTTTGACCAGAATTTGCCATCGAAAGAATTCCAGGCACTGTATGTTTTAGCTTAAAGTTCTCGTCTACAAATTTCATACCATAGATCGACTCACCACCTGTCCCATTACCTTTGGTGAAATCTCCTCCTTGGCACATGAAGTTTGGGATGATACGGTGAAATATAGATCCCTTGTAATGTAAAGGCTTTCCAGACATTCCAATCCCTTTCTCTCCTGTGCATAGGGCACGGAAATTTTCAGCAGTTTTAGGGGTGACATCTGCAAAGAGTTCCATCACTATTCTGCCAGCTTTCATCTTTCCAATCAATACGTCAAAGAAAACCTTTGGGTTGGCCATTTCCTTATCACAATCTGAAAAGTTACACCATATCTTGGATCTTATAAATAGAATTGCATGAAACTTTAAAGTGCTTAAGCGAAACATAAAGCTGGTAATAAGATACAACCTTAGTTATTATTGAGACTTGTGGAATGTGTAAGGAAGTTCAAAGAAATAGACTATTTGTGCTAAATAAACATCATAACATAATTGCACATTCTTAGTTAAGCTATTCCTTGATCTCATAGGCAAAATAAAGCAAGAAATAGCATTTCAGAACATCAAACACAATGTAACAGGATATTGGTTGAATATCTTCTCATCTTTGTATGCATTCTTTGTTCAATATAAGGCTCAAAACAAACAATATTTTTTACTTCAAAAACATCAATTTTCCGAAATTAGCTATGAAAATGTATGATCAGTAACGCAGGCACATGAAGACAAAATATTCTATCAGACTATTAGATACAACATAATAAAATCAAGGGCAAAAATCATTGACAGCCACCAACATTTCGCAGAAAAAATATGGCCATCCCCTGAAATTTCAATAGGGGCATTTGGCACAATAACTCCCTCGTATCAATGAGACACCCTTCATCGCAAGACATGACATCAACAAATAAAACATGGATATCTGATTTTACCACATTATTCATGGAATACAATCAAATCCCCTTTCTAAAACTATTTTTAACAAAATAAAATTGACCCCACCAGTACCCAGACACCCACACCTTATTTTTCTTTATACTCTCTCTCTCACTCACGAACACAATCATACATATTGTTAAAACATGTGCACACACACACACACACAAACTGGTTCACAGACCCCTCCCTTATCCTCCGTAGTCTCCTCCCTCCACTCCCCAGCCACCCTGTAGGCATGCCTTGGCAACTCCTCAATCAATAAAATAAGGTGCAGAAAAAAAGATTGACATGGCATCCAGTTATTTCTTTCAGCAACACAATCTTCTTAGTTGAGTTCTTTAGAAAGGGATGAAAATTTTTACCCTTGCAGTGGTGGTTGTACTACAATTGCAGAAGTGAGTTTTTGGCATGATGATGAGGTCCCTGGCGATGAAGGTTGTATCGAAAGGGAAGAGAATAACTCTGCTGAAAAAAAAAATGGATTTTGTTGTTGAATTTAGATGATTGGAGATGCCATAGTCACTTAAGGTGGCACATTTAGGCGACATAGGTTTTAGAGGCTTTGAAGAGAAGTTCTACGAGGTGGTTGCAAGGGTGGGGGAGGGGTTTGCTGGGGTCCAGTGATAAAGCGTGTTCGGGGTTACGGACATTTCAAGGGGGTGATCGATATTCTTTCTCTGTAATTTTTGTTTTTCCATTTGACCTCTTTTGACAAAATTTTATATGATAAAAAAGTCATTCATGGTTAAAGTCTCCAATAGGAGTCTCCCTATTATTCTTCGAATGTTAGGGTGGCCAAAAACCATTTCTGTTGGGAAGTGGCACTGATATTTACCTTAAAAAACACACTTGGGGCACACATAAATGATATACTCCTTTATATTACACAATTGAAACTTATACAAATTAGACATATATATTACACAAAGCAGGGTTTCTCATAGACACCAGTTTCTGAGAAAAGCAATTCTTAGAAACTTCCCTTGAAAAGTTCATTATTATTTAGTCTTAACTGAAAGTCCTCTTATCTTGACAACAACTAATCCTAATACTAGTAAAGATCTTACATTTCAACCAAAATAAATCCGCCCCAATTTGTATTTAATAACTATATACACGAACACACATTAAAAATGCAATTGCTTTAGTTTTCAAATTATCAAAGGGGGGTCATTGCCAAGTGTAGTCGTAAAACTGTTGTAGAGTAGTAAAAACGCAAAAGGCTACAAACCTTGAGTCAAATATTCGGATATGAGATCAACTACGTTGTTTAGATAATGCCAAACACTAGGATAGTACCCAGTTCACTCCTCCTAGAAACCGTGATTAACAAATAATGACCGATTCTCCTTAAAAAAAATTGTGCATATAGGTTCCATTAAGCAAATGAGTGTTTTTAGTTTTTAGTTTGTAAAACAGAAAAAATACGAACCAAAAAAGGACACAATGAATTATAAGCAAATGAGAGAGAAAATGTTCATCCCGCAATGAATCCTCTTGAGAAAATGTTCAAACATACATCAAGACGGCATTAATATAGGGATTTTTTTTAAATGTTGCACAATTTTTGAGCTCCACAGGCGTTCCAAAACCTACCTGCAAAGCCTTCGATATGTGCTTAACCCATTACTACACACAAAATTGCATGAAACACAGCATTTTATAGGGAGACTACATACCTTCGAGCCGGGGAAGGACGTTTTGCTTCAGTGAGAAGAACGATTGGAGGTTCCGCTTTCAAGCGTCTCATATACACACAGAGGCGGGGGTAGGTTTTGTGGTTTTAGGGGTTTAGCCGTTTAGGGTTCTGTTATGTGTGTTTTTTTTTTTACTTGGTACCCTTGTACTTTGGGATATTTTTGTATTGTACCCTTTTATATAGTTGTGTTTCCCCTACTTTTGGAAGAAATAAGTCATAGAGGATTCTGAACAGATTGGGTCTGTCATAGAAGAGAATTCCACAAATTTTAAACTAAATCTCAATTTTTGAATCTATTAAAAGAAATTTAATGAACCCGCTGATCCAGCAATTTGCATTGACTTGCTTGCTGAACAAAATTTGGGAATCATTTTGGCAAGTGTAGCAAGATGAGTTCGGCCTTAAGTCGACTTACAAACTTATAAGAATTGGAAAAAATAGACTATGCAAAACTCTGGACTTAAACTTAAACTGAAAACTATCTAACTTTTTTCAAATTAGATTTTTGCTATGAAGAATATCAATGATTTTCCTTTTGTACCCTTGATCTGACTCTCAATTGTAAGGAAATTGGACAGAATAGTTATATCATGTCAAATTAAGAAGTTAAGAGGTTATAATATATAGTTTAAGGGCTTACTTGAAACATGTGGTATAATTTAGGGGCTATTACGTAATTTACTCATGAAATATTGATATTAAGGCTCAAGCAGAAGAGATAAGTTACTGGTGAGTGATAATTTTTGTAAACATTGACCAAAGCTCCATTCTAGCGGGGTGCAACTATTCGAAATTTTGACACCAGTTCTAACTTCCGACCGATTTCGCCTCCGTAAGAGTTAAAGTTTGTGGGAGTCCAAATGGGAATCGAAATTTCATATCATTTTGATGTGGTGGAAAGTTCATTCCACCAAATTTCCTATCATTTCTCAAAGAACACGAGATGTCTTGGACATTGCTATCACAATTGTTGCCTCTGAATCAACATTTAGCACGAGAGGACGTGGACTGAATCCTCAACGGAGTTCATTGTCCCCTAAAACAGTGGAGGCTCTTAAATGTACGTAGAATTGGATGGGGTCTTCATCTATTATTCAAAATGATTTGGATAGTGTCGATGATCTTGAGAGCTATAAGCTAGAATCAGGTTATACTTATAATTTAGTTGATTTGATTTTACCATTTTATAACATTAATAATAACTATATCATTGTTTGATTTTGTTGTAGATGTGGCTGCCAACCCGTGATGCTTGAGGAGGATTGATTGACTTGTTGCTATGTGTTATGAAATTATAGGTCTCTGTTAAAGTTCTTATGAAACTTTGTGTTGTATTTCAGTATTAGAATTGTGTTGTTAGACTCGTTGTTTATTTGGTTATAAACTCTTTATGGGTGGTATTATGGTTTTTATGGACAAACTATTTTTTGAATTTGATGTTTGAATTGTGTGGCTGTTTTTTTTTATGGTTATGAACATTGGACAGTTTGTTTTTTTTTTTTTTTGTTTTTTTTTTATGGTTATGGATACTGGACATGTTTTATGGGGGTTAAGTTGGATTATGATTTTTATATAGGGTCTATTAGGTAACAAATTGGTTTTCAATTTTTTCGTTCTTGTTTTCAATTTTTTAAAAAGTTTGAATTTTAAACTCGTTTGGTAATTATTTTAATTTTATTTTTTAATTGAAATCGTTTTCAAAATTGTCTCAGATTTTTGAAATGAAAAAAAACCGTTTCCTAAAAAAAAAACCGAAAATGGGCGAAAGGTGATTAATGTTGTCCTACCATCGAACCTTGTTAGCAACAAACTAATCACTCTACCAAAAAACCAGCCAAAAAATCTATTTAAACCCTCAAACTCTCTCTCATCTCATCGTCTCTCTCGGTCCTTTCGTTCACAGCAGCAGCACCGTCCAGCGTTCACAGCAGCAGCTTCATCTAGTATAGGAGTTCTAGCAGAGCAGGACCAACTTTTTCTCTCTCGTCTGAAGCTCTCTCGTCGTCCATCATACACATATGCACAGAGGGAACCAAGTACAACCTGAAGAATTCTCTCTCCCCTCGCCAAAAAATTACGTCACCAATCAACACAATCCATCTGCTAATACTCGCCGGCGAGGTACGGATCATATGATTTCCCTCTGATTTTCACTGTAACGACAATTATATGTGTTATATTTTCTTGGGCTTTTATAAAAATATGGGGTCTTTGTCAGCTTTGTTCCAAATCTCGTATCTTTGATTAAAGATGCACAATTTGATTTTTTGGGGGGTTTTCTGTTAATTTTGATGGTGAATTTGGGCGGAATTGAATGTGTATTTGATTGATATCTGGGGATTTTTTTTTTTTGATATTTCAAGGAATGGAAGAGGGCGTGAGATCAGTGGATGTGTTGAAGAAAAAGAGCTTGTCTGGTTGTTTGATTATCAAAAAGAAGGGGGATGGGATGGGTGGGGTTGGTCCATCGGGTTCGCGTAAAGGTAAGAAGAGGGGAGTAGAGAAAGGGATATTTTACAATTTTTGGGTATTTTGGTGCATGTTAAAGTGATGTTTAAAGTTGTTTGTGAGGTTAGGTTTGTCTGACTATCAAGTTTTGATTGAGTCAGATTCTTTGGTGGTGGTAAATACTATGAAAGGTCAGTTTAAGTGTTCTTGGCCTTATTTTGGGGTGGTGGCACAGATCAGACAGCTTTTAAATGGGTTGAATTTCCATTTGGCACAAGTTTATCGTGAACCAAATTTTGTGGCCGATGGTTTAGCTACTCAGGCTGTCCATTTTCTTCTGAGTTCTATACGAATCAGTTGCCTGCTGTGGTGAGGATGAGGCTGCTTCAAGATCAAAGATGTTTGCCTGTTCTGCGTAAAGATGGTGCTGAATTTTGATGACGGTGGGTAAGAAGGTGGAAAGTTGGAAGTGTGAAGGACATCTGAGATTGCTACTGTTTTTAAACTTTGTTGGTTGTAATGTCTAAGGCAGAGGCAGTAGTATGTTTTAAAGGATTAAAGCCAAGTTGTGGCTTGTCCTTTTTCTTTTATGTTTTGGTTTTGTTAAGGGGTTTTATAGCTCTGTTTGCTTCATGTAATGTTCTATCTTTTGTTAATAAATAAAATTGTTTAAAAAAAAAAGGCATCGTTACATTGTTGTTAATAAATAAAATTATGTTATACCTTAATATATTATTCTTATAATCTATTATTTTTACTGTTAAACTATCATGAAAATGTATGGTGTAAATAAGTTGTTCATAAAATAATTTAGAAGTGTTTATCAAACATGTTTTTTGTTTCGGTTTTTTATAAACTGAAAATCGAAAACCGTTTAAGTTTTTATTTTTTTTAAAAACTAAAAACCGAAAACATTACCAAACGCAATCATAATTTTTGGTTTTTATATTATTCCAACAGATTTAAAAAAATTAAGCAAAGAGTTGGTTTTACATACCAAATGAGGGACCCTAGCCAAATTAACTATTCTTTTATTAGAGTTGGCCCAAATATCAGCAAAGAGTGGCCGAATTTTTTTTAAAAAAAAGTGAAAATTAGAACCAAGTATAATATAGGGAACTCTTTTGCCAATAAGGATAGACACAATCTCTTTGGTTTATTAAGGACACATGTTAGATATTTTTTGTTAAGTAAGTCCAATATTCCCTTTACTTTTTTTTATTTCCTATTTTAACCTTCAGCGGATCATGTAGGGGTGCAACTTGGGTTGAGAAACTCGATTTTAACCCGAGCCCAACACGAAAAAATTAGGGCTTGGGTAAGGATTTTTAATACTTGGGTTGGGCTTGGGTCAAAAAATCATAACCTGAATTCAATTCTGGGTTCACGGGTTCGACCTGAACCCGACAAATTAAAAGAAAATTTATATATATATATATATATATAAAACATTAGCACTAGTTTTTTATTTTTGTTCTATCATTCTCTGTCTCTCTCATTCATTTTCATTTTTGTTCTAGCGTTAACACTGTTAAAAACTTGGTTGAAGTTATTCGTTGTTAATTTAAATGAATATTATATAATATATGTATTAGGTTTAGAACAACAAGTCTATTTTGGACTCTACCTGAACTCAATCCGAATTGAACCCGTAAAGTAACCTAAAACCAACCCGAATTGAACCCGAGCCCGCCCGAATTAAACTCAGGTAGTGCTTGGGTTGAGTTTCTCAATCCGAGGTAGGATTAGAGTTGAAGATTATATAACTAGAGTTGGGCAAGGGTTGACTGTCCAACCCGCCCGAGTTGCACCCCTAGGATCATGTACATATCAGCCACCTACCATGGCTATTTTGTTCTCAATAGTAACTCTCAAAACCATCTCGAGTATCCCAAAAATCGACAGCAACTCTCTCTCTCTCTTCTCTCTCTCTCTATATATATATATAAGGCATACATAGTGTCATTGTGGGGTGTGTCATAGTGATAACCATATTGTCACTGCGTATTATGAAAATTTTATCTAAATTATTATTTTTTTGTGTACGTTCTTCTTGTGAGATAGACATTTGAGTAATTGTTACTGTCCAGTGGTATTGTCACTATCTCGAACGACAGTAACAGAAGAGTATTTTCACTATCCCAAGACACTAACGCATCTGTTATTGTCCTAGATTGTATTACAAAAATTTTATCTCATTTTTTTTTCACATTTTTGTATTTGTTCTTCTTGTGGAATAGACGTTTGAGTAACTATTATTGTCATGGACAGCAATAGTGGAATATTTTCACTATCTCAGAACAGTAACGCATCTGTTATTGTCCTAAACTGTATTATGAAAATTTTATCTCAATTTTTTTTTCACTTTTTTGTGTTTGTTCGTCTTGTGAGATAAACATTTGAGTAATTTTTACTGTCATGTACAGTAACAGTGGAATATTTTTACTATCCCAGAATAATAACGAATCTCTTACTATCCTAGACTGTATTATGAAGATTTTATCACATTTTTTTTTCATTTTTTTGTGTTCATTATTCTTGTGGGATAAACGTTTGAGCAACTATTACTGTCGTAGACAGTAAAAGTGGAGTATTTTCCCTATCCCAGGACAATAATGCATATGTT